GTAGTCTTTTTTTTTTGATGGTACCTGGAATTGAACTCATGACCTCGCGCTTGCCAGGCAGGCACTATGCTGCTGAGCTGTATCCCCAGCCCGGTCCGCTGTAGTCTTGGTGGAGCCAGAAGATAGAGGAAGTTAAGCAAATAGGCCGCACCTCCCAAATAGTTGCCCTGCAGTACACTAAGAGTCAGGGTTTAAGTGAATTGACAAAGGGCCCAAATAATTAACTTCCGTGAACTGATTGTGGGGCCTAATGGCATGCAAAGGACGGAGAACAAGTCCCTGAACAAGTGGGAGAAGACTTGAAGTGAAACGCAAATGAAACAGCTTGCTTTCTCCACATCAAAGACTTACCCACCACCAGGGGCATCCCTGCTTTGTGTCACATACACAGGTACCAAAAACTATAAAAAGCCAGTGGAGCCAGGCCCCGAGGTGCAAGTCTCTGCTCCCAGCACTCGGGAGGCTGAGGCAGCGGCATTGCTGTGAATTCAAAGCCAGCCTGGACTACATAGCAAGACCCTGTCTCAAAAAACAAAACAGCGACAACAATAACAACCAAAGAATAAGAGGTGGGGCTGGGATATAGCTTGGAGGCATGCGTGCCTACCTGGCAAGCGAAAGAGAAAAAGCCAGTGGATTCTAACATCTATAGTGTCCACGGCTGGGGATGTAGCTCAGTGGCACAAGTGCCTGCCTAGCAAGCACAAGGTCCTGAGTTTGATTCCTGGTACCAAAAAAAAAAAAATCCAGAAAACAAATATAGTGTCCGGACTATGGAACACCTGCCTGACCAGTGGGGGGCATTTCCTTTTATTCTTTCTTTTTTTTTTTTTGAGACAGAGTCTCACTGCGTAGTTCCAGCTGGCCTTGAGTTCACTATGTAGCCCAGCCTGGCCTCCAACTTGTGATGATCCCCTTGCCTCAGCCTCCCAAGTGCTGAGATTACAGGTGTGTGCCACCATGCCTGGCCCTTTTATTCGTTCTGATAAACATGCATTTGGTCATTCCCCATCACTTGCCATTTGCTGTTTTCTCAGCTTCAATCTTCATTGCCCCAAAACAAGGACTCACGCGGTGGAGGGAGTTGGTTACACAGGGACCTCTCTCAGGGGCAGGGTGAGAAGTCCTGTGGGGCTAAAAGGTGTCCGAGGGGTAGGAGGAGGGGGCTGGTGCCTTCCCTTAGACTTCTCCATACCCTGCAACCCCCATGACTCCTTCAGAGTCAAAATGGTATCCATTTTTAAGGGTACAGCCAAACAGAGAGGCGGCTGCTTTCTGCAGGGTTTTCCCCTGGTGTGTTACTGGGCTCCACGGGGAGAGAGAGTCTAGGTCTGGGGCCCTTCAGATGGCATCTTGTGCAGGGGGATGCAGACCCGTCCTCAGAAACACCCTTTGTGAGACTCATTTGTACTACCTGCCAAATGTGTCTACAAAACTATACTGGTGGCTTCTTATTTATGCATTTTTCCTTAGAACTCTCCATACCTGGGGCTCCAACTGGCTACTTGAATTAACCCCTAAAACATCAGGGTGGAGTTCCCTGGGGTTCCAGCTACTTGAGAAAAGGTTAGGGTAGAACATGCTGGGGGGGTTCCAGCTAGCCCTTTGAGAAACAGTGAACTCTTAGGAGATCTGAGTGGTTGCCAGGCATGGTGGTGCACGCCTATAATCCCAGCACTCGGGAAGCTGAGGCAGGAGAATTGGATTTTTGCAAGTTCGGGGCCAGCCTGGGCTACAAAGTTAGCTCAAGGCCAGCCTGAACTGCACATTGAGACCCTGTCTCAAAAAGACCAAAAAAAAAAAAAAAAAAAAAAAAAAAAAAAAAAAAAAAAAAAAAAAAGAAAAGGAAAACAAAATACTTGACATAGTCTTAGAAGAAAACAAAGAATTTTTCTTATCCACAAACAGACTTAAAAGTATCCATTATGAGTATTAAAAAATGATGTCCATAACAAAAGATTTTATTTGTGTTTACAGAGGAAGTCAGTATCTATACACAGTTTGAAAGGTGAATTGAAAGCCCATAGTGGTTTAGGATCAGTGCTTGACCTACTGTACTATAAATGGTTCCCTCTCTAGAGCAGGGGTTTGGTCTTTTCTAGCTTTTTTTAGAGCTAGAAACACAGATGTTCAATAAATAGTTGCCAGTTTATTCACGAATAAAGGTTCTTTACAAATGAAAAAAGAGAAGATCAGATGGGAGTCCCACCCCACTGCATGTTGCATGTAG